TACTGTATCTTTCAAACTTGTGAAATACAGTGTTAGTTTACCTGGAGTACAGGCAGCTCGGGGCGGGTGGGGTAGGAGAAGGTGAGGTTGCAGAGCTGGACGTGTCCTCTCAGGGTGTCCGGCTGCAGGGTCCCGTCTGTGCTCACCTGGGGCTTCCTGTCCAGGTACTCAAACACCTTCTCTGCCACACTAACGGAGTTCAGCACGTCGCCAAAGATGTAAATCAGGGTCTGACAAACACAGGAGACACGGCGGGGGGGGGACACCAAATAAAAGAAGAAATGCAATCGCATACGACATACAGTAACTTACCGTTTAAAAAATAAAAGCTGAATTTAGTCTTTATTAACTGCTCTGATTTCCTTTCAATTGTGTCAAAAAACATCAGTTTTTTGCCAGGTTATTTACCAGGCAAGTGATTCATTTCAATATTAAAGGTTTGCTAACACTAACAACTGCTAAAATGGACGAGCAGAACACATAAAGCCAGTGTTGCTAACTCTTAAACGGTTAACCATAGTGTGTGTGTGTATAATGTGTATATTGTATGAGCACATAAAAACAGAAAATGATTGTTCCTGAATCAATCCCTGAATCAATTTCTTATGCTCGGTTGATACATTTTAATATGGTGAATGAAATACAGTGGTCAAATTCTACCACAATAATGATATGACAAAAGCAATTCTGGAAGCCTGGCTTGATAATTCAGTATCAGTATTTATTACAAAACATTATAGTAGATCATCCAACAGAAATGAATGGTGGTAATTTTCAGCATGAACCACATTTATTTTACAGGGTCCACTCTTTGAACAGAAGCATCTTCAGGTACCTTGATTCTGTTTCCTAGGTCCCTCTGGTAGAACATGAAGAAGACCAGGGTCCCTGTGCTCATGTGCCTAGACTCGATCAGCTTTATGCCGGAGTAGAGCATGGCGAGCCACAGGCCCTGATCCGTCACCTGCGGGTTTCAAACAGCCACAGAAAAGGCTCTTAATCAGATTATCACCTTAACACAAGGAAAAAAAACCAAAATGCATGCATAGTACCAGTCAAAGGTTTGAAGTGTGTGAAATGCTATAATTTTTCTGTGAATAAACATTATCCTCCACAAAAAATGTCATCGGACATTAATTTCCAGCACTTCAGCAGTAGTTCTCAGAGAGGCAGGGTGCTTGATGGTTTCTTTGACTCCTCAACCAAATTAATCCCACAGATTAATCTACAGGCAGGCCAGGTCATTACTAAAACTCTTCCTCACATTTCTGTTTTTGTTTGATGTTAGTTCTGATAAAGTATTTGCATGGTTCTGAAGTGCATTTTGGGCCATTATCTCACTGAACAATTTAGAACTGCCCAATCAGTTGTAATCCTGATGCTGCTTCCTGTGTTTATTCCTACATTATGGTCACCACTGATTTTATAAAGATCACCACTGATTTTATAAAGATCACCACTGCTTTTGTAAAGATCACCAGCTCTTACAAGCAAAGCAACCCTGTACTACTACACTGCAAACACCATGCCTGACAATGAGAGCCACACAATGAGCACTTTCCACCTGCAGGACTAAGGATATGAAGTCACTTATACCTTCCTCATGAGCGCGTGAACAGCCCTGACAGCTTCTCTGCGAATCCGGAGCTTGTGGACGTCCATCAGCCTGTCGCCATAGCGCCGGGCCTCCACATGCTCCGCCCTAAAGCTCCTCACGGTCCTAATGCCCGCTGCCGCCTCACCGACCACATCGTTTGCTCGAGCCAAGGAGTCATGCACTCTCTTCGAAAATCTCTGCAGTCAATCCGGGAAGAAACCAAGTCATTTGTATGCATTTAGGAGAACATGCTTAATCATGTCTGCTACCCTACTTCAGTGTGCTATAGGTATTTTTTTGGCTGAACACCTCCATCTATGTTGTATCTAACGTAGGTAGCTTGTCCACCACAAGAACTGGGATGTCTTAAGTTTTGTAGTATGTCACCAGGTACTCAACTGCCTACTCCAGTATTAGTTATTCTTATTGGGTCATTAAGCAAACTACAAGAAATATACCACAGTACAAACAGGAAGCAAACATTCCTTCACATCCCAGCTGCCACATTCTATCGGTGCCTGTATCTCCATGCTGAGAGCTGAGCCTCTGCCTTTGCCTACACGTACCTGGAAGTAGATATTGTAGACGCTCTGTAGCAGGCTATTGAGAGGCATCTCCATCAGCACCAACAACGTCAGCTTCCAGGACAGGCGCAACATGACGAATGCTATGCCCAGAAATTCAATCAGGCTTCTGAGCAAGAGGTTGATGCTCAAAGACACTGCGCGTCCCGTCAGGCTGGTGTCCGTGGACAGCCTGCTGCAGATGTCCCCTGCAGGGCGAATTCACGTCTTACGGAGAAGCACATTAGCCTGAACTACACAAACTATTTTGAGTAAATGGTTTTGAATTTCAAGTTCATAACAACCAATACCAATGACCATTTAAGGAATGCATGGATTTCACATTGCAGGTTTACAGTCTTATTTATGCTTTGCGACCTATGGAATCAGAAATGAATTAATTTCCATTCCTTTCATTATTTTTCTTAATTTATCCTGTTGTTTGTGAATGCATGCACTGATAGTGCCAAGACAAATTCCTAGCGCATGTTGGTGTACTTGGCCAATAAAGTGAATTCTGATTTAAAAATATGTATGCATATACTCAACTAGCTTTTTTGAAAGAGGCAAATTATAAAGAAAATTATTAATGGTTAGAATTTTAAAATAAAAAGGACATTTTGCTTTATAAAGCACCAGCTTAAGTCTGGATTCAGAGCATCTCCATGTAATATAAAACACTTTGCAGTACAGACCGGTTTTAGTCGAGTCGAAAAAGCCGATTTCCTGTCGCACCGAGGAATGGAAGAGCTTCAGTTTGATTCTGCAGGAGAAGCTGCTGATGGCGCAGCTGAAGAAGCCCTCGCGGGCCGCGGTGAAGAGCGAGCTGAAAGACCGCAAGGGGAAAGCTCTCACGGTCAAGCTCCCACAGGGGAACCAGCACCAGCGAAAGGGCAGGATTTGGGCACAACCAGGGCAGCACAGGCTACTGGCAGGCAGGTCATACTGTGTAATTTGGAAATAACACAAATTTAAAAAACCACACTATAGTAGAACCAGAGACTGATTGGTCAAAAGTGTTTTCATATGTATCCTTCAAATGTCCACCCAAAATGATGGAAAAGCAAAGCAAATATTAGGTGGTGTCAATAGTGCCAGAGTCACTAACCTGCCAAATGAGAAGAGCGCCATCGAGAGGAGGACAGACGGGAACTTGTGCCGCTGATGTTCGACACCCAGGGAGTCAATCAGCTTCCCCGTTTGTAAAAGAGCAAAAAGCTCAACTGTAAAATATGACATTAATATCAGATTATTTCAGTTACCCAAAAAACATCATTAACCAGTTCATGGGTGACATGCTGTTTTGTAGTTTAATGTGAAAAATATTCACACTTCATATGAAATGGCAGTAATTATTAAAAAGAAGCACAAATAAAATGTTAAATTTATCTTCTACATGAAATATGTTACTTACACAGAACAGCCAGGAAGAGGAAGACGTAAGCCCCCAGAAGAATCAGGTAGTCGGGCTGACAGAAGCTGATCACTCTCATGAATAACACTCGTGCTTTCTGCTTTTTACCTTTTCCATTGTCTTCCCCGTTTGTGTCAGGGAACGCGACCTCCCAAAACATACAGGCAGCAGCGGCTGCTATGGAGGTTAAAAATGTGAATCCCGGACTGCCCACCGGGCTGATCCCCGTCTCCAGCGGACCCCCGAACGCCGCTAGCCGGCAGCTCTCATAGACCGAGCTGAGGAAACAGTGAACCGCCGCCCAGCGCCTCATCACCGGTCTGGAGGTCTGATCCACAGTGGGGAGCCACAGGCTGCAGATCAGCCCCCATCTGATCGCAGCCGCCGGCCACAGAAACGCCAGCAGTCCTGTGACATCGTTACTGCCAAATACAGGGAGCAACGGAGCAGCTCCACAGCCCAGAAGGTAAAATAAAGCTGCGTCAAAGCAGACTGCAGCTGTGTATGACATGACGGTATGCATGGTGCGGGTTTGGATGAACCAAACTCATAAAGCCCATATAATGAAGTCACTTCCAGGGAGGAAACCTGTAAAATAAGAACTATTGTGAGTGTAAATGAGCATTTATTTTAGTTCACCTTGCCATACATTGTTGCTTTTCAATACTTAAACACTACTTCATCTTAAACTTTCAGATTGTGTTGGAATAAGCATTAGTTGCAATAAACCTTTGAAGATGGTCAGTAGCAAGAAAAAAAAGTGGTTCAGTTGATAATGGTACTCTCTTGTATTAGCGGTTATATATGTTGATTAGCTGGGATTTTTCTCTGTGTATAACAGTCTTTCTCATTAATTTAATTATTAAGGTAGCATTATGTAAAGACTACCATCCCACCCAGAGCGTCCCCAGCATTGTGCACTATCCTTCTTGGGATGCTAAGCCAGTACTGTGTAAGCAGTTATGGAAGGCGGATGGATTATTAACAAACAGACGTGCGTGTCTGTTTCAGGTCTGCTTGGCTGGGCAGTCATGCCAGCCAGACACCACCAGCCTAAGGTTGGAATGGAATAAAATCTGTTAGCTGAAAATATTCAGCACCCTTCAGAAATCGTCCCTGTATAACAGGACACTGTAATAGCTGCCACACCAAAGCTCACACTTAAAACACTTAACAAGTTATTTAGTGAATTATGTATCTCCAGCTTTACAACAAAAAAAGGGTCTGGGTTGCAAAAAATGTAGCATTGTATGGTCAGATCACAACAGACTGGAATCCATTAGACAGGGCTGCCATGAGATATTCAATTTGAGTGGCATTTACATGTATGCAGCAGTTTTATTACCTTGTAAATAGTCTGTAGTGTTTGCAGACTATTCCAAAGTTTTTGATGTAGCTAATCTTAGATTTATAACAGAATAATAAATATTTGCCATAAGATTTCTTGTGTGACCGTGAGAGACTGAAAATGTGTCACACGTACCAAATGCCTGAGGATTGGCAGCCCTGATTAGGAAACACTGAAATCGTGCCTAAAGGCGGCAGAGGTATTTAAAAAACGTTTCTGGTGCATTATTCAAATGTCTGAAGTTTAGGCCTGAGAATCTGTTGAAAGACTTGATGACTGCTGTCCCGTCCACAATGATCCACAAGTAATTATGAACCTTGAATAAACCATGAATAATAGAATATCTCCCCATCACCTTGCACGAAGGTCTGAATAGTTTAAACATTTCAAACACTAAGCTAAAGCTTACATTAAAAACCCTACCTTGGGGTCCAATAACATCCTTACCTTAATCAGGACTCAAACACTGGACAACTAGTTTCACTCTGAGCTTCCATATGCGCAAGGAGAAACACGACAGACGAATAGACAATTAAATTAGGTATATTAAAACACGCATTTTAACCCGCAAACATCTACTTGCATACTTTAATTTATTTTGTATGATATTATTGTTCTGTTTTACCAAGAGACCTGCCAGAAAAAGCCGGAAGTTACCGGCTAAATCAGCAGTCACGTGATTATCTGTCACACTCCGGCAGCAGCGGTCTGCGAACTGGTTTGAGTTCAGGCGTGAGTGATATGCTTAGCTAGTAGTCACTTTAATTTAATCATTTAATCATTATTATTTAGCAAGATTTATTTTCAGACTAAATGGTCAACCTGTGCCGGCACTGTCATGCGGTCGGTACTGTTTTAATATCCGCACATGGTCATAACGAGCGTTATGAATTTTTGATGCTGTATTAACATTTGTGCTCAGACAAATTATAAAACGCTGAAATATCTAGTGCGCCTTAATTTATATTTGAACAATATCTGGGACGAAATCGCGGTTTTGTGTGGTTTCCAAGGGATAATGAGCGGAAACAATACAATCAGAAAACATAAGGAGAGTTGGAACAGGGATATTTAAATATGAAATATAATGTTATTAATGATATATCACTAGAATATTTTATGTATTATACTAGAATATATTATGTTTAGTTTTTTTATGTGCATACACAATACCCTAAGCATGCTGGGACTTTCGATCTGTTGATTTGCTGAGATGAATACGTCACGTGTTCAGTGTAGGAGCTTTTCAAAATGAAATTACAAAGCATGTTTATACCTGTACCCTGCTAATAATTACACTTTAATCTCATTTGTTGATTTTCTATGCTCCGAACAGCCGTTGCATTGAAACCCATTCTTCTTCTTATTATTATTATTATTATTAATAACACTAAACCGATTTAAAATAATTAAAATATGTACATTTATTTCTACATAGATACAAACAATAAAATTACATCGGCATACAACATTTTTTCTGCTTTGCATGACTGAGTTGTAAAGAATCATTATGAATTTCTATACACCCAGAAAAATTATTTTGAACAGTTGGAGTTTCCTATGTTTAAGCTCAGTGCCACAAAAGAAAACAGGTACAGAATGGCAATTAATGGAAACAAACAAATGACAAGCTATGTAATAAAAACAGGGTAAATGATCTGAACTCATTGGCTGTGTAGCCTTGACCTTTCTATCCATTTAATCCTTAAACAGCTCAGTGGTGTTAAGGTCCGGTGACTGCAGGCCATGTCAAAACATTCAGCTTTCCTTAATCTTCCTTTTTCAAACTGTTCAATTTTTTTTGACTGACTCTGAATGTTTAATTATATTGAGAGTCTGTGTGTATGGCTGTAAAGGTGCCTTCTCAGTGTAGCGTTCAGTAGTTATTGAGGTTAGTGCTGTTCTCCATTCTCAGTAAAGATCTTCTCTCTGAGCCTGAAGTAACTCCCCCTCTTGTCCATCAGCTCCTGGTGAGTCCCCCGCTCCAATACGGCCCCCTTATCAATCAAAATGATCTGATCTGCCCTCTCCACTGTCTTCAGCCGATGAGCAATAATCAGCAGGGTCTGGGAGGGGCGGTCAGCCAAGGCCTGCTGGATCTAGAAGATGAAGATTATGGAGTATGTTAAATAAGGGAAAATGTATATATATATATATGTATATATAACCTTATTATCACATTATTAAAATGCTAAATTAGTAGCAAGCCTTCAAAGTAATGGATCAGCTAATTGTTAATGGCCACAATATATAATCTGTATTTTAGCAAAATTATCTTCATTTTATTGATTTATTTTTTATTTATTTTTAATTTATTTTTAATGGAACCAACATGAGATGCAGCACTATGACCATACCGCGTGCTCGCTCTCCGCGTCCAG